AGTCTCTGTCGAGGGTGGTTGGAGTATTTGACAAAACGGAGCCAGTAGTCACCCAATGCGCAACAGAGGAAAGCACAACATTTTATTTCCTGAATTTGGGCATGTCGGTATATATCCTTAATGAAACTTCAGCAAATGCAAACAGAACTCACACGGTCTAAAGGACGACACAGCACGAAGTGCCGACTTCCAACGAATGGGTTCAATGGAAGTAGCCTTGTTGTTCTATAAACACAAAGTTCTTTTCAGTTAAAGTTATTTTTTGGAAGTTACCCCTTCGTCCTGTTTCATCTTTTTTTTCATGTGTGAAATCCCTGCATAGAAGCTTCTTTGCACTGCGACAGCCATTCATCGGAACTGGATTTGAACAACATACAGAAATTTAGGTATCAGACTTCGCATAAGCCAACCGCTCTCTAGAAAAATCCTATACCCGCCCTTGAAGACACATTCGTAACAACATGAATGTTGCCTCCGCCTGACTTATGTAAGGTTAAGACTCACGCACACAAAGACAAAAGCAAACCAATGCACTTGTTATTATATATGTTTATGACAACCACAGGTAAAGCAACCTGTACACCGCCTGATGTAAGTGCAATAATGTATCGCTTATGTGTAGTATCTTTCCTTGTTATATAGCGCGTAGTTGTTATATTAGGTGTGGTCTTATTCATGCGTCTCTTTAGAACATCGGGGTATGGGAATATTGGGATTTCTGGAATAAAATTATAGGTTATTAAGTTCTTCGCACCGAAACCAGTGTAATATTATCGGGCATCACAATCAAGGTGGGTCTTAAATTCTTTCAATGTGCTCTCAGTGAAATTAAAAAAAAAAACTTATAAATATGCTTCCCTTGTCGCTTATGTACTATTGAGTGTCACACTGGTATTACCATGCCTCGACACTTCAACGTCTTCCATCTTGTTTCACATGTTTTTACCAGTCGAGTATGGCGTCGATGCCATTCTGACCGAAAACAAGTCATAAGCTTATGCATTAAAATAGATGGAAAGCTGTACTATCGACATTGCGTCTGCTTGTGCAAACACCACGAAAGTAACCGAAAACACGCGCAAATCTCTTTTCAGGATTGTGTACCCATGGGCCCAAAAGGAATCTACGGCACCAACAACCCACCGATATTCGACATTTTTTTTTTGCGATTGCCAAGAGTTTCATAAAGGCAAATCTCCTAAAGCGGTAAGATTTTGTTGCATGGATACTTTGCTGTGTATTGCTTGGTCGGAAGCGGATGGCTGTGATGAAACCTTGATAAAATAGAAAGAATTGTGATGCTGCCTAATGTGAATTATGAGCGCAGCCTCAAGCTTTGGGCAACACTAACTGTGCTTGAAGCTTTGGCTTTCCGCAAGGTATTCACGACACCTTAAACTCTAATCGTTGTCAAATAGGACAACTACGCCATTATCGGTCTTATTGCGGATAAGCGAGGTACCCGCTACACATCTGTAAAGTATTATGCTACTTTGACGAGGAAGAATGGTGGCCGAGCACGATCCAAAGGGCGAAATGTGTTAAACCACACGCTCATCGCGCAATTAGTGCTGGGTGATAACATGCTGGTATTTTACTCTTTTAACACGCTATCCCTTTTAGTCATGGGTATTTGCTTTCTTATTTTTTTATGTGCACATCGGCGACGCAGCTCCTTACAGGAATGAGCCCCTAACAGCTGCGTTCTACAAGACGTCCTATAAAATCTCCTCGCGGCACATTAAATATTAGTATAGCGTGGATAATATTACAAAAGAGTACAATAAATGACGCAAGAGAAAACGCAAGTGCAAATGATAAACCGCTTTTCTTCCCGTTTACTTCCGCTTTGCAAATAAGCGAGCATCGTTTACGAATATTAATGTTACAGTTCTGTGCGCCTTTACTATTGTCGTTTACTCAAGTGAGAGATGTAAAGCTATCAACGGAGTCAAAAGAGCAATAGCGCAGAAATGATGCTGCATGTGCAGCGTGAAACAAAGAGAAGAAGCGATGACAACGAAAAACACAAATAACTTGATTAGCTAAAAGTTCGTCGCGAAATCTTTATCTCGATCATTTCTCCAACTTTTGCTAAAGCAAACTCTTTATTTCATAAGCAATGCTTACGGTGCTCTCGGTTCATTGCAGCATATATGGCATATCTGAATACAATATTTTCACATGGGAGTATATGAAAGTACTTTAGGGTCACTGAGTCACACTATAATAATAGCTACGCGCAGATGTTGTCGCAACCACGGCGTTATACAGCATGCACTGGTCTCAAGCTCATTTCAAAAGCAGCTGGCCGCAATCAGACATTTTAATACCGTAACGGTCCGGATAATTAGGAAAGTAAGATAGGGGGGGGGGGGAGGAGATAAGGAGAGTTGTTGGCAACACAAACTGTCAGCATACGCCACCTTTTGGAGGAATATCTTTTCGATTTCTCATATGCGTACGACTTCTAAAAGAGATTAGGTGCCATGATTACAACGACATGCCGATACCGATCTCCCAAATGACTGAAATCTGAATATAACTTTCCTTCGATGGTCATGTTTGAACACATGTTGACCACATGGGCTGTCTCACGAAGAAAACGCTTTAGGTCAGGAGTGTCTGTGTATCCACTGAACATATTTATTTAAAAAAAATACTGTTAGGTGAAGAAGTTTATGTGCAGGCCGCAAGCGAGAGGATCACGAACCGCGTGTTTGAGACATCTCCTATAGACCATCATACAGAACTGCATCTCAAACCCCGCTGACAAATATTACTTTTGCAGATTCGCCTTTTCAGCCACGACCCAGAAGAATTGCGTAAGCCCGTGCCGGATGTCGTCCTTCCAGAAGAGCAAGGAGAGACGAACAAAAGCTATGACTGCGACATCTTAGGGAAGAAGCTGAAAAGTTCGGAAGGTTACTTCCAGGCGCTGGGCTCTTACGGATTCTGCGAGACGCCAACAAAAGCGGCCCATGAATATAACGGCGGGCTCACCAACGACATACCGACGAGTGAAGAATGAGCGCATCTCTGAGCATTTTGCAAAAAAAAAAAAAAAAAGAGAGAGAGAGAGTAAACGCTATTCTTCCAACAATTTGGTTCATGTTGTTCATGTGTCTTGCGTGCTTATGAGATATAATGAAGGCAGAGATCTTGTAGCGCGTGGCATAATGAAGAGTGAAAGTTGTTTTTTAGGTAGTGTATATGCCAAACGAATGAGGTATGGTATACGACATTACGTACGCAGTAGCATTATTAACTCATAAGATGTTTATAGAGATTGGGAAATTGCGCCGTGCATCCCGCTACCAGAACTCCTCGTAAGTTGCACTTAAGCTTACACTGCACACGAAGCCATGCACGGTATGCTTCATTCGAGCTGCACTCATACTGCATGCGCGCGGGTCCTCTTTTCACAACTCAACATTCCTACAGGACCGCAAACCAAACATTTCTTCCTTGACCTATACTCTCTTTCTGCCCCACTTTCTTCTCTTTTGTCTTTCATAGAGTAGCTTAGAATTGAAGTTCCACTTTATTGCATATGGTGGTAGCGAAACATACGACGACTTTTCTTTGTGAAGAGATGTGATATGAAGAGATGTTTTCTTCACGTCGCTGTGGAATGCCAACTGTTCACATTTGTTCCGCGCGCTATCTAGGCAACAATACTCCAACGGACCATGGTTGTGAGCAAAAAATCACGATTTTGTCCACGACCTGAAAATCGAGAAAGAAACAAATAAAATAAATAGGATTAATCCCGCGTTGTTTGCGTGCCAAGCAGTGTTCTACTACACAGCCGTGTGTCTGCTTGCAAAGATAGTAAAAATAGCTTCTTGCGCTTGCAAGTGCAGTGAAAATTACTGCCATGCTTTACAAATACGCATCATGTGTGTACAGGCTTCACATTACAACATGAAATATTGCAGCACTAATATCGCGGATGTCATTTTGCTAAAAAACAACAAAAAAAAATCAGTCTACGCCTGTCTGTGCTCTTTTCCTTCTTGTGCGTTTTTTTTGTGTGTGTGCAGAATGCCATCTCCAAAGGAGTACCTACTCGCCCAATGCTCGCTTCTTCTAAGTAATATTGCGTGGTACGAGCGTATACATTGAAATTGGGCGTAAGAACATGCGATTACCATTACCACTACGTGGTTTAAAGCCGGTCACCCATTGCCAAAAAAAAAAAAAAAGCACACACGTTACTGCACACATTTCCTTAAATCCACGTAGGTGGTGCGTGGAAAGTTCGAAAACATTTCACGCGCATTATCGCTCGTCATTTAAAGCATGCTACCCATTACACAGAACGCAGCCATATGCGAAAACTTCAGTTTTAACTTTATCGATTACATTGCAGCAATACGCAACTTAAACTTCTTCAGCAACGTCATTCAATAAAATGTGTGCACTAAGTGGCTAAAGTAGGAACTTCCAAATGCAATAGCCAACGAACGAAATACTGTGAAGTTTAAAACCTTACTCGGAACTCATTTTACAACCACACCCTCGTAATTTCTGTGTAGCCAGTTGCCTTTCTCTCATTTTTTAAAATCATGCTATTTGTTATATAACGAGATCTGTTTGTATTGTTGCCCTGTAATTGCAAATTCCTGAATTTTAACCTACTTTATGTTCGTGGTCTGGAATTGCCTAGTGTATCCTTGTTCGACCCCCCCCCCCCCCCCTTATGTAATACCCCGTCAGGGGTCCTTGAGAGAAAATAAATGTTGATGATGATGATGATAGCACTAGATATCGCTGTCGCGTTCCACTCTTAAAGGCGAAGCTTATGGATCCCCCAGTTTTTGACTTTCTGGAATGGGCCAAACACCTACACGGCGAGATGAAGGCCAGAAAGAGCGCTGACTCGCAACTACATTATATCTGCGGTGGTCGCAAAGGCTGAGCTAAGCGAGTCGCCAAGTCGCTTCGTGTGCGCCGTCTCCGCCGACATTCGCGGATTTCCGCGCAGGTTCTCGTCGCAGATCGCGTTACCTCGGAGAAGCCAGAGGCGTCGTGCTTGCTCATCACGCGCAGTCAATGTAGCAGCCGTCGAGCGATGCGTTCATGTTTGTGCGCGTATGACACCATCCTCGTTGACCAAATTGGTAAGTGTCTGCGTAGGGCAGTTTAGAGGGACCATGAATTTGCACAACATTTGTATAGTTTGCTAAGTTATCTATAGTCGCTGTCAGCGCTCATGGTTCTCGGCGGAGCTTGTCACACGTGTTTGTTTTCTGAAATTCAACGAGAATCACATAGATATAATTTGCGCTTACAGCCACATTCATCTGAGCAGGGCTTAACAGCTGATAAAAATGAAAAATACCTTGTTGAAGGAGAACTCGAGTTAATTCGAACGCGTCAGTATCCACGATGGTTTATTCGAACTGAGCCTTCTTGATTTTCATCCCTCAACGCAAAAATCAGCCCACAGTGATCGAATGTGTTGCCCAACCAAACCAAACCGAAAATTTACCGGAGATACAAAATAACTGTACAGGGGCATTCTTCAGCAGAGAAGGATTCGGGCGCTGCTTTGCAGCTATTCAGCAAGCCGCCAACGATGCTCGTTAAGTCGCGTCAGAAGAAACAAAAGAAAATTTAAAAGTCTGACTACTTTTGATTTTCATCGCATTAACCGTATGATGTAAATAAACGTGTTTTGAAAGACAAATAACGTCATATATTTCAACATTAAAGTTAAGGCTCACCGCTAACAAGAATGCATATCGTTGCTTGTTTTCCGGCGTATCCCTGACTGATCAAATTATTCTATTCACTATTAAAGCTGCCTCCATGTACCTAATTTACAGAATGACCTGCCACAAAAGCGTAGTAGCGCCTGATTCTAGATAGTGAGTCCAGAGGCGGCTTCTTTGGGTTCTGTTTGCGCAGCCTGGTGTGATGCCCACTCATTCTAGCATAGATCGACCGGCTATGATTCAAACACCATTTAAACTGAACAATATTATAGTCCCCTTCGAGGAGGAGGAGGAGGGTAGTAGTAGTAGTAGTAGTAGTAGTAGTAGTAGTAGTAGTAGTAGTAGTAGTAGTAGTAGTAGTAGTAGTAGTAGTAGTAGTAGTAGTAGTAGTAAAAGTAGCAGTAAATGTAGCAGTGTAGTAGCAATAATAGCAGCAGTAGTAAAGCTAGCACTAGCCGTAACAGTAAAAATAATAGCAGCAGTAGTAGCAACAAAAGCAGCAGTAGTAGTAAAACTAGACTAGCAATATCAGTAATAGTATCAGCAGTAGTAGTAGCCGTAGCAATAGTAGCATAGTAGCAGTAGTGGCAGCAGTGAAAGTAGTAGTACATAGCAGCAGTAGCAATAGTGGTAGCTGCAGAAGTAGGAGTAGTAGTAGCAGCAGCAGTAGCAGTGAAAGAAGCACTAGTAGTGGCAACAGTAGTAGCAGTAGCAGTAGAACTAGCACTAGCCGCAGCAGTAAGAATAGTAGCAGCAGTAGTAGCAGCAGTAGCAGCAGATAGCACTTCGGGCTCATGGCGTGTAATTCTTTAAGTGGGGAGAAACGAAAGTTTCAATTTTTCTCCACTTGATGGCCTCCTCACGTGTTTCGTGCTTGTGGGGAGGTCCATGTGTTTGACCGGTGAAACGTTGATGGGCAAGCAGGTCCTTTGCGATTATACGGTTGTAATTTTCGTAATGCGTTAAAGTAATACAGCGAACACATGGCAAAGAACACCTTGTGTCAACGTCTACATAGTTTGCACGATAACATAGAGATCTTTGTTTAGCGTTCACTGGCGTGAACTAACACCATAGGCTGAAATTTTACGAATTGTTGGGTGTTAAGCGATGGCATTAAGTGATGGACTGTCTTGAATGTATTGCTTATAACTGGAAAGGTTAGCAACAGGGGAGTAAATTGTGAAAAAGTAAGGTGGTTTCCACAGACCTTCTGCATGTTGACAACTGCTAATTTCGTGCTTTATTTTTAGAGAAAGGAATGTCTAAACATAACTAATTAAGAGAATTGGGTAACGCAGACAGGGTGCGTAGCGCTAACAGGCTCTAGACGGTATTCTAAGCATCCGCATTTCAGGCATTGAACAACGCTGCGAATATGGACTTTCGAGAACACAGAAGTGTGGCAGTTTGGGCTAGTTGGTATGACATGACGATAGTTATTGTGCGAGAACAGAACGACGACAAAAAGACAAGTATCGTGTTCTTCGTATCCTTCTTGTCTCTTTGTCGTCGTTCTGCTCTCGCGCTAGAACTGTCGTCATTTCGAGAACAGCTTAGAGCGCTCTAGTCTAGGACTCGCAAAACGCAATGAAGCTTTATAATGTTACCTGATTGAGAACCTAGTCAACAACGTTGCCAACACTGTTTAACAAGGAAACAAGAAAACATTGATAACGTTTCAAGTGCCTTGGCCCAACGAGTTTTTCGAGAACAACGAAAAGGTGTGGCAAAATGAGACTTGCCCGTCGTGGTGATCCAGTTTTCTTGTAATCGTATACTAAACTTACAATACAAAAAGCAACTGCACAAAACGATTTCTGATGCCGCCAGCTGCATCTAATGCGACCCACTTTCAGTAACAAACCAAGAAAAAACAGAAATAACTGTGTCAGTCCGCTGCTTCAAACGTCAGCCTCTCAGGACTAAGCTATACTGCTGCATAGGTCGTAGAGAGCGCCACGCTCATCCGAAGCACTCGTGACCTCAATATTGTAGCGCGGCTTTCATATACCCTACAAGTAACTTGCACAGTATTAGTGATTGATGCATTTTCCTTAGTAAATTAAGCGTTTGCTTAGATTAGTTTCTTACGGCATAAACATTTAAAGGTCTTGCATTTAGACAATGATTATGTTTAGGTAGGTACAAGTGATAACCGTGCATTTCTGAGCAGTAATATGTTCGACACGATTGTCTTTAAATGCACCATGACAACGCATGCCTCTTCTTTTGCAGACACAAACCCAGAATGTCCAGCGGAAAAAACCAGAACATTCTGCAAGCCATTGCATCCCCTGAAGATACGACAGGGATTGCGCAACAAGAGTTGGGTGAAACAGCTGCAGTCAAGGAGCACGCGTTTAACCAACTGAGAGAGCTAATACTTGGTAGGTTCAACTGTCCTGGAAGGAGGACTTAGTGATAGTTTATTTGAATACTGAATTGAATTTCTTTTGGATTGCATTCAACAATTTCGTTTCGTTTTTTTGTCCAATAGGTGTTCCGTTAAATTTTGTCGAAAAAAAATGTGATCAAAGTATGCCTAAAACGCAATGAAGATTTCCGCTTTTGCAGAGAGAGAGAGAGCGATAGTGTTCATATTTATGTTATTTCTTTCAAGGAACTAGTGGGGGCACGTTAGCGGTTGTGCATGATGGTTGATGGGAACAGTATTCGATTATCTTTATTTCAATACTGACTAAATAGTTACTACAGGGACTAAATTGATATAGAAAAAATCTTTTTCGTAAGTGCATTTCCCAATTGGTCAGCCAGATTTGCTAATTATGCCCCCCCCCCTCTCATGATTGGCGGAAGAAATATTGTCCCTTAAAAAAATATCAGCGTAAAATGCTGTTGCACATACCGACCCTGAATATCTTCTTGCACAGCAAATGAAAAAGTCCAAAGAAATTTCTTTCAGGTTACCTGTCTGGTATATTGTTTTTTTTTTACATGTCCACAACAACTAGGCGAACCCTTACTCGACTGTCCCATGGACGAAGACTTCCTCGCCAAGTTTCTACGAGCTCAAAAGTATGACGTGCAGAGCGCCTTCAAGAATGTCCGGACGTACTTCAAGGTTCGAAGGGACTACCCGGAGATGTTCGCAGAGCTCAAGCCTTCCAGCGTGCCTTTCAACGATGCGTGCCGCAAGCATCGACTGGTGACGCTGTCCCGGAAGACAGATTCCAAGGGAAGAGCTGTGGTAAAGTTCAGGACAGGTGAGGTCAACGTATATCAGACATTGTTCTGCAAGTTAAAGATTCACTTATAAGCCTCCGTATTTGTCGTTTCTACCTGTCCAATCCAGTCATGTCATGTATTGCTTAACACTGGCTTGATCGTTTGTTTGTACGTCTGTCCGCCTGCCTGCTGTTGTTTCTTCCGGTTGCCAATCTGTCAGTGCTGATTAGAATATGAATTGATACTTGAGAAACGCCAGAGACATATAATACGTATTAGGGACAGAAAGAAAAAAAATATTACCGTTGCTTTTGGTAAAACCTGACCAATTTACAACTGTAACTGGTGCAAGTTTATCGGCTACAGACAATAAATGCTATTTCACAATACACCAGGAGAAAATTTCTGCTTCAAACATTTTTTTGATTTCACATTTCGCTTCACAGCGCATTTGCTGTGGCGGCATTGCATGATCAGCCGCGGGCGACTAACCGATGTGACGTGCCACGGTCGGTGAAGTCAGAAGCAGCGCGTATAATACAGCAAATTTGGATGTACCTGTGATCTCAGCTCTCTTTGAAAGCGCTGCCCCATATAAAAAAATAGCACATCCTCTTCTTTTGCGAATATTTAGCTTCTCACTATAGAAGTGCACGAATAGTGGATTTCAGAACCGAATTGAACACCAATCGAATACGATTGCAATGTTTTATAATAGTGAGGCGATCATGTTTAAAACAATCCTAGAATGGTAATGTGACCATTTTAGAAACTACTGAATATTTCCACGACATTTATTTAAACAAATATTAACATACAACAACACCATTGCGACTACTTTTACCCAGCTGAGAAGTACAACACGTGTAAAACTGAGACAGGCTTGAACATAGCTCCACAGCAGCTAACCAAACTTTGCAAATATTTTATAACTTCAGGTTGAAATGCAACAGTGGCTAAAGTATTAAAGGTAGCACTTTGTCCACAGCTTCTAAATGCAACCAATACATAAATATCCGACAAAGTGCATGCTTTAAGAGCATGATGACTGTCGTTATGAAGGCAGTAAATTGATGACTATTGTTTCGGCGAAACTAGAGTTCAAGTAAAAGCGTAAAATCACAAAGAAAAGAACATTGGTCATAAGTCATTCGTGGATCGAAGCACAAAATTTTACCTTTGTTCGTTCCAACGTTTCGTACCTTTTCATGGGTGTTCATTATTTAAAATATATTAAAAAACAGATATTTTTAATATTCACTGTTTGAGTCAAGTACCGATTTGGATACAGCGCTATTCGATTATCTACTAGAAAATTTAGAGTACTTCCACTCTCTTAACTTTCACGTCACGTAGCCTATTAAGAGCTTACAGACGCGAGTGCCCTTAGTCCGTTTGCAAGCTGTCCGCCCAGTGAGGAGCTTTTGAAAAAGCCTCTTCATTGTGGGCAATGCATATTATTTTTAGCAAAACAAATACTAACATTGCCCGCCTAAGTCGTAAAAGTGAAAATAAAAAAAATATACTTTTATTATGTCTTTGATCCGGTCGTCACTTTGCTTAACGCCAGGACTTTGCCACCTTAAAGAAGCAAAATATAAATAAAGAAAACATGGACAGCACCGTTTTTAGATACGATGAAAGCATAAACAACTGGAAAATGCTGAGGACATGCAGGACTGCGAAAGCTGACGGAGGCTATAGCACGGTCTCGTGTTTTCTCATTTGTCTTTATTTTTATTTACACTCAACGACATGAGCATTAGTTCCTGCTGGTGCCACATATTACTTTGTCTGCCTGCTTTTAAAAGAGCGGCGCTGCAAACTCTCGAGGTGACCGAGACTTTATCGCATGCGTTTCCTAATAACACGGCCGCATTTGTCAAGTGCGGTCGTTGCAGGTCATATTTACAACACGGTACACGTTAAAGAACCCCAGGTGGTTGAAATTTCCGGAGCCCTTTCCCGGGCACGGCTTAGGCCCACGCCTCAATCGGTTGGTTTGACTGAAGTTTGTTCACTCAATCACTCACTCCACTACGGCGTCTCTCGTGATCATATGGTGGTTTTGGGACATTAAACCTCACTTATAAATCAATCAATCAATCAATCAATCAACCAATCAATCAATCAATCAATCAATCAATCAATCAATCAATCAATCAATCAATCAATCATATCGACCAGATTTACAACACGTGTATTCAGTTAATATGGCGACGAGTGTGGAACACAATCACACTCGCCGCTAAGGCTGCTGGTGGCGCTGACAGACACTTCCACATTTAATTCACATATATACACAATAAAGTGGACGGGGGGATATCCGCCGTGGTCGCTCAATTGGTGGAGCATCGAATGCGTTATTCGAAGGTTACGAGTTTGGTTCCTGCCCACCGGCAAGTTATCTTTTCATCCACTTTCCTTTCTTCACACTTACATTACAATCAGGTATAATAAGTTCCCATATATAGCTTCTTTGCATTGTTGTCTGTTAAATCTCATTAATATTGTGTCTAACAAGAAACATATATTGCAGTATAAATAAGAGATTTGTGTAGTAAGTACTTTAAATTTTCACCTACATTTTTTTTTTTGCTTGACCAGGTGCCTGGAACACAGACATATGCTCGCTGAATGACTTCTTCAGGATCACGTTAGTACACGCCGAGCACGTCCTGCTTCGAGAGGAATTCCAGATCAGGGGCATCGTGGCCATTCTAGACATCAGGGGGCTCAGCGTCTCCCACATTGCTCATTACACGCCCTCAGCGATTAAAAAGTTCATGACACTTATTCAGGTCAGTGGCAAACTCTCATGCGAATCAATCCATGGTTAGTCACTCGAGTTGTTTTCTTATCAAAGTTGTTGTGTGTTAAAAAAAGAAAAAAAAATACTTTGATAACTGCTCACATTTTCCTATAACTGTAAGTTCTCGGAATCAGGCCAATTCACCCTGTGCGTGTGTCTATAAAAAAATGGAGCTATGGCCTGACCCCTTGGTGAAGTTGAAGGAGGATGGCATGGTTCTCTTTTTCGTTTCATTTTATTAATTACCTACGAATCAATTGCAAAATGCTACCTTGGCATTGAAGCAAGCAGCTCTTAACCGTTTGCACACTTACTATGCTGACAGCATTCACGTATACACGGAGGGCTCTGCCACCACGACAGGTTCCACCGGCGCTACCATGATACCAACACGTGCAGGCGTGTGTAGAGTTGTCCTTCACGGGGAGGTGAAGGTTCGTTGCCACACTCCCTCCCTTCTTATTATAATAATGTATGGGACCCCCCACCCCAGTTATCTTCTCAGGTGACTGAGGGGCGTGGCCACCCCGCCTGTTATTTAAGCTATCGCAGAGCACGCAGAGCATGCACTCCGGAAGTGGCAATTGTCAGAGTTCACACATCATCGACTGTATTTGTTCGGGATGTCAAACTGTTACGTCGGCTCAAACAGTGACTTCTTTCTCCTCCTCCATAACTTTTTTCTCCTCCCTCTTATTTTGTGCTGGGTAGCCTATCGGTCTCAGCCCTGGTTAGCCTTTCTCCTATTTTTATTCTCTCACTTTCCTGTATACCGAGGAGTGTTCTACTGTGTAAACACTGAAAATAGTTTCCTCAATCGTCTTTGGCTTCTTTCACAAAAGGTGTGTCGCTGAAATGGTAGCGTGAATACTCTGCTATTGTTATCACACATCTGCTTTAATAATTTCCAAAGACCGTATGAGGGGCATTTTCAACTCACTTTAGATCGGTACATTTCAAGTGGAAGTAAAAAAAAAAACACTTTATACATGTAAAATTGGACAGAAAATTGTATTAAGAGCAGAAAAAAAGTCACAGCTTTGCCGTAAAGACGAAGAAATGAACGCGATAGCAACAAATTGGAAGGTCACGCACAGAATGCCAAGGATATCGAAACGCGCCCCACGTTTCTCACGCACAAATGGCGCACGAAACGTACTCACAAGTACAGATGAACGGGGATAAGCGTCTCAGTTGTTACTTCGCTGTCTGAAAAGTGCGCTCTTTTCGCAAACGGAGACTGTGCAACGATTCCAGTGACCTTTGTGCGCCTGGTAACTACAACAAAATCGTTCATGTGAAAGCCCTAGGCCAGCCATGACGTACGATCCTCCCCACCGCGACATAAGGGCGCGTCAGTGGGCGTCCACCCCCTCCTCGCGACGGGGCAAAGTACGCATGGGAAATGAGAGCGTGTGCCACCGCGTCATGACGATGTGGTGATGCGCGCTCATCGTGCCATCTTTCTGGTAATGCTGAAAAAACGATAGTTCCGCCCAAGATGTCCGTCACCAGCGGTAAGTGGTAGATATAAGTAGCTTGCTGTTTTGAACGTTGAAGGACGTGGTCCTCCGTGGCTTAGTGGTCCCACATTCGATTTCGTGCGCCGTAGTCTTCTTCTGGATTATTTAACTTTCTTGCGTTTTCACATATATAGGTACGTATACATATACAGTGAGTGACTGCGATGCCCACGTCGACGCCGATGCCGGCGGCAAAATCCAGCCGAGAGTCCATATAATTGCTATCGTAATAAAATGAAGCGGATGCAGTGTGCTACACCAAGGTCGATTTTTTTTTCTCGGCTGGCATGCCATCCTTTCGTAAGCAGTACAGACCTTCAGCTCCAGATAGATCTCGACTTAGCATCAGCTGTCGGTGAATAGTGGTTCGTGCCCGCACTCTGCAGAATCCGAGGTTAGGAAGCGCTGGACGTATTTATGAAACACGGATTTATCAAGTAAAATTACAAGAACGACAAAGGTGAAGTGAATGAGGAAATGATAACTGCACGAGTCCTGTCAAAACACGCGATCGTAGAAAATATTGCAGTCATTTGCAGACTATCTGATGCACCTGCATATTAACAAATATGGTGTACTAAAGTATAAGAACTAGCAGCTGCATTCACCTCAACACTTTGGTATGCGTGTATGTACAAACGTGGCTCGTATTTCGGCCATATTAAACAATTTAGTAATAAGTATTACTGAGGACAAAACTGGTACATCTCATGCTATTCCCATGGTAACGTTCATACTGAAGGTGCAAAGAGAAGAGACGCCGTAAGGCAGATGCATGTGCCTGCATGCGCGTAAAACGTCTATGTTTTTTTCCTCGCTAAATGTTTAGTATGTAGTTGCCAGTAGCGCTTGTCTGTCTAGTTGCGCAATGATTGGTGCGTTGGGGGTTTATTTCGGAAACGAATGTAGTCCAACGCGCGCCAGGAGGTTCCGATATTCTTTGTCAAGCCTCTTTTTTCATCAAAGTGATAAGTTAATATTTTGAACGCAGGCAGTTTTGTTTCGTCTTAAGCTGTGCTTCTAAGAGTACGAGGCAAATGGTTTTCCGTTCTCGAAGAAAACTAAACCAACCAAGCGTCATTCGTTCAATAGCGACTGCGACCCAAGGCTGCGAAAAAAAAAAAAGAAAGAAAAACCCATTTGCGTTCGCAGCGATATAGTATTCGTTCAATGTTCGGGCTGTGATTGTGGCAGTCGATACAGGTTTCTCATGTCCTTTGTCAGTACTGTATGAAACTCGCGTGACCTATTTGTGGCACCTTACTTAGCAGTTTTTATGCGTTTCAAGATATTATTACTTACGCGCTGCATGCGAATAGGAAAGTAACGGCCGAAAAACGAGCAAGAAAGGCAACGGCAGATTTTATAAACCACTTCGTTTTAACTGCCGTTTAATTAACGAAGCAGTCTGACGAGTGCGAGACTCTATTACGCCTGTCATTTTTCGCTATAGAAACGAATTGTTAACGAATCCAGAACGATATTGCGTTAGAAGTGATGAACTGTTGAATGTTGGGCAGAAGCTTTAGTATTGACGTTGCCCTATCATTGTTTCAACATACATCAGTTCGCAGCATCTTTTTTTGAGGGTCGCAGCTCCTGTTGCATAGCGATGGGGGAGGGGGGAAGTGCTATTGGGTAATTTGCAAGATTTGGTGTGGCTTGATAAAGGCAACTGCCTCTTTTGACCCCCCCCCCCCCCTCTCCCTGCCGGCGCCTATGGCATCAGCTGAGCGAGCGAATATAACTTATACGTGTTCGTAATTCCAGGAATGCTTGCCCTTGCGGATAAAAGCAGTTTACATCATCAACAACCCTGCTTTATTTGACATTTTGTTCACCATTGCCAGGCCCTTCATGGAGGCCAAACTGGTGAAAAGGGTAAGGATGTTTATTAGCTCATTTATAGAATTCACTAATGCGTACGTTATGTGTCATTACGTTTACTTTGTGGTTCGTTTTCAGTGACTTAGGGCATGTAAAAAAGAGAAAAGAAAGAGTGATCCCGACGATAGAAATTTATGTAGTTGATTCACCGTTGCCCTAATGTACCGTGACATCACTTCTGGCATCCCTCTTCTACCCCGAATGCCCTACTTCATAAATATCGAATGATTGTGCCCAAAACTGAGCGTTGTTTGACAACTTGTTTATGCAATGAAGCACAAACAAGATAACTGCGCGAGTACGGCGTGGTTTCCGCACTACCTCGTCTTTGTCTCGGTGTAGAAAAGCTGTAGCCTGGCAGCTTCATAGCCATACAAACTTAACGGACTATTCGAAGCAATTATTTTACACCAAGTATGTTCATATCAAGGGCACCGAAATGCAGTGTATACGGATCATCATAATGACTTTTGATGAACCTACATTGGTGTTCTGACAAGTTGCTGGCCCATTTATTGAGGGGCTGCTAAAGCGTCGTGAAAGATAACATGAGAAAACATCTGTTTACATTGTTGCACAGATTCGCTTCTTCGGCTACGACTGCGAGGAACTGCACAACCTCGTGCCAGAGGACGTCATTCCGGAGGAGCACGGCGGCACAAACGAAAGCTACGACTTCGACACTATAGAGGAGGAGCTCAAGAAGGAAGAGGCTTTCTTCGAGAAGATCAACGCTCATGGTTATCGCAGGGTTGAGGAGCATAAAGAGGGAGTGTCCAGAATATAGCTTGAAATAATTATATCCAATTATTTCTTTCACTCTCACCGTTTCTTGCAACTTTATTGCGGTTTGTGTTTGTATAGCGTCGTGGCGTGCGACGTAATCGCGATTATGTTGTCGAATTTCTCGCGGAAATTAAGAAAAATACTTGGCAAACCTCACGCGCCGGGAGAATCAATGATATGCGAAGAAGTCATCAAGGTGTATGCTGCACGGTACTTTTTAAAATGAACATAATGCTATTAGGTGGATAAATCAAGTACTCAGTACACACGCAGAAATTTCATACGCATTCACGCACGTGGAAAACATACAAATGCAAGAACTGTTCATAGTTGTGTAACGATGCTACCACTAAAGTGAACACGAGCACCAGCTGCGGTAGGCTGAAATATTGTTCTGGTGTAAGTCCGTTATATTCTACACGCGAACGGAATGCTGAAGCGTATGCTGTTTTTATTTGTTTGCATTGACGGTAAGTGATACGAGGTGGATTGACGTTAAGTGCAATAGTTTGTGCACATCATGGGCTTGCCAAGAAAGTCCACTAAGCTGGCGTCAACTGGTGAACACACTGGGTATCTTATGGTCTTGCATAACGTCAGCCACTTCTACTTAGTTTCAAGAATTGCTCAGTAGATGGCATTATGTGTATGTCTTCGAAAATAATGTCACTAGATGGCGTTAGTGGTTTTTGTATAGTTGATGCTTGAAGAGGATAGATGGCGCTGTTTTAATAACAAATTCACAGCATATTCAGGGAGTGAATAATGATAAGTGAGGCGAAGCGTCCGTCCATCCGTCCGGCTGATGCGTGCTCTAGTGTGATAGGAGCGGACGGACGGATGGGCGGATGGACAGACAGACAGACAGACAGACAGACAGACAGACAGACAGACAGACAGACAGACAGACAGACAGACAGACAGACAGACAGACAGACAGACGGTAAAGGTACACTGGACTTGTTGATATCATTCCAAGCATCGTTCAACTTGACAGCAATAGCTCAGCTTCAAATCAAATGAATGGACCACCTACGTGATTGAGCAAAGCGATTGAGCAGTGTGCCTGGAACAGACGAGTTATAGATTACGCATATCCTCATCGTCAATGGCCGCACAAACATGTTGATTATACATGACTAATTAAGCTGAAGATGTGTTTTATGTGCGCAGTTCCGAGATAAAGGCGATGTATGAGGGTGTCGTTGGGTATTAGGAGTTGAGGGTCAATATGAAGCTGGGGATAAAGACACCGTAAAAAAATGGCGCAGGTATACGAGACAAGAAAGACAGCATAGTAGATGAAGGACATTTTTGAAGAATATTTGGACACACGAAGGACAGATGAAGGATATTTGCCCATTTATTTCTTTTTTTCCTTATACATAAATGCATCCTGATAAAAGCGAAGGCACTGACTTACACCTACTCGAGATATATAATTTGTCTTTCACAATCATTTTTATATACTTATTATAACTATAATTATCAGCATTAAAATAACAGCCCTTTTTTTCCTGCTTGCCCATGTCGCACAATAAAGATCTTGCGAGCCGGTTTTCCAGCCTGTAATGCATGACGCGAAAGCTTTTCAAATAACAAGAATGCCAAAGCCGCCTAAGAACTCATACGATGTTTGGAAGCTTTTCTCATAAGGAAAACAATTGAGTTCTTCGAGAATGTATACGGTAGCAACAACAAGCCTGTTTTGAAATGTATCAGAAATAAAACTGCCAAGGAAAAATGACACAATATTGCTCAAGAGAACATAGGTTCGAATAAGGTGACTCATTTTGTACCAGTGACCCGACCCAATCAGCTGACACAAAAACACGGAAAAAGAACGTACATCACATTAGGATTGAAGTATGACACTCGCAGCGCGTAACCGCCGGTACATGTGCTGCCGCTCGTGGGTGCTCGTGGTATATACTAGTTCACTGTATTCATGGCACTGCGGCCGAACGCTCGCTAAACCTTTCGAAAACCAAGGAGGTTACGCGCAGCGAGTATGACATAGCAAACTTTTTCACTCAGATAGTGCTCAATGTACATGCCAACGGCTGCTAATGGGAAATGAGAGGTGGAGAATTCGGCTTCTACTTTCTTACGGCTTGCTCTTCGTATCTACTTCCCATTTTTAACCACCTCGAGTTCATTCATGGTATATACAAGTTCATTGTATTCATGGCATTGCGGCTCAACGCTCGCTAAACCTTTCTAAAGCTAAGGAGGTTACAACCAGCGAGTATAACGTAGCAACCCTTTTTTGTCAGATAGTGCTCAATGTACATGCCAATGGCTGCTAATGGTGATCGCAGCCTGCGCGTTAACTAAAAGCCGAATGCTCCTGTCTCTCATTCCTCATTAGCAGCCATTGACATGTACATTGAGCACTATTTTTAATTGTTCAACATCGCACAGAAGAAGTCTCTCACCGGCACTACCTTGGAGGTCAAAATGTTATACTTGTTACATACTACGGGGGACGAACGGGTGCCACTATAAGGAGCTTTGTTCCTAAAATGGGAAGTAGGTACGGAGCGCAAGCCGTAAGAAAGTAAAAGCCGAATTCTCCGCCTCTCATTTCCCATTAGCAGCCATTGGCATGTACATTGAGCACTATCTGACTGAAAACGTTTGCTACGTCATACTCGCTGGACGTAACCTTCTTGGTTTTCGAAAAGTTTAGCGAGCGTTCAGCCGCAGTGCCATGAATACAGTGAACTAGTATATACCATGAACTCGAGGTGGTTAAAGGTGGGAAGTGGACCCGAAGCGCAAGCCGTAAGAAAGTGTGCGTGTGCCACCTCTCGTTTAGTCCTTGGAATGTCCGCTGGATGGCGGTGCTTCTATATGGGGAATATATGATGAAAAGATGCGAGATGGTGGTACTTGGAGTGTATAATAGATGGACGAACGGACACAGACAGATGCATGGATGGACGCATGAACGGACGCAGAGGCGGCTGCATGGACGAACGCAGGGATGGACGCACGAACAGACGCACGCACGGACGGGCTGATGGACGCATGGACGGTCACACTGACGGACGCATGGACGGACGGAAGCAAGAACGAATGGGTGGACGAATTCTTCGCCCCACTCTCCATCATTCACTCCGTGGATATGCTGCCATTTTTTTTAAATATTGTGAATGAAATATGGAGATGACCACTGTATAATCTGCAACTCTATTAAAGAAACACCTCTACCTTATCAGTGGATTATGGCACTGAATTAAAGTGAGAATAAAATACATGGAGCTTACAGTGAGATTAAAAAAAACTCCCAAGCATTTCCCCGAGGGTGAACATGGTTAAGTGCGAATACACGGGGTGATGCTATGAGGGGTATTTATTAATTCGCACTATTATATTTATTAATCACAGTATGGTGCCTTTATGGTGTAATGGTTCCTGGGAATCGCAATTTGATCACACGGGGGAGTTTACGTTAACTCACTGGCGAATGCCAACGGATTTTAACTTTACTCCCCCTCACGACCTGCTCTCGACGGGAGACTGAGAGAGAAGGCGGCGCGCGGGAGAGAGGGGTGCGCGCGCAGCTGCAGCGAGCGAGGAGAGCGGAGGAGCGTGCGAAGGGGGAGGGGTATAAGGCGCGTTACTGATACCGATATCAGCGTCGCGTCCGTGGCTTATTCGGTAGAGCGTCGCGCTGCGGCCCGCCAAGTCCTCTTTCTTTTAAAGATAGAGAGAAGACCGCGGACGCCGCCGACGGCGGTGAATGGTTTGGGGTCGCTTATAAAGTGTATTCACACTTAAAACATGGATTAAATACACGTGACGCCTTATGAAGCCACAGCGGTTACTGACGTGTTCAGATTACAGAACCAACATTCATGAACGGGCTTTATACTGTAATGTATTCGGTTTAAGACGTGTCATAAGCCTTCATTTTGTCCTTATTCTGAAAAAGGAATTAAGATGTCACCCCCAGCAGGAATATTTATGTTCAGTCGAAATAAAGAAAGACGTAGTCATTCTGTTGGTGGAACACTGGCATGTCCAAGTTACCCAATTATTAATTGGGTAATTGTTACCCAATTAATATTCAACTGACCCAATATTACCCAATTACCCAACTATTAATTGGGTGTGCCAATGAGATTATTGCATCGGGGCGCACGTTTTAAACGAAGCCGGGTGGTAGTTGTGAAGGGGCATTATTAAGATGATGTGGTGAATAGCCTGAATAGCCATCTATTGTCAATAGTGAATTGTGAATAGTGAAAGTGAATTGTCAATAGCCATCTATTGAGATATGTGGCGTGCATATGCGAGCCCATTTTGAGGCTTCGGTATGTATGCCGAAGGACATTCGGATTACCAAAATATTATGCTTGAATGAAAAAAGGGAATTTCCATAGCTAGTTTCTTAGTTTTTTTTTATTCCTTTCGTTTTAGAAGGTGCAGTGCAGCGATCGAAGAAACGTCGTTGATTCGGTCTGAGATAACACTTGCAGCGCCCCGGGAAGGTACGCGCGTTCTAAGAAAAATTACAACACATCAAAAGGCGGGCCAAGGACAACTGCTCGGGCACTACTTTGCATCGCAAAGACCGCAATATTCACTAGTGAAAGCGTTGCCGAGCCTCGACCCAGTCTGAGGAAATTTCATCAGGACGCCGTACTAGAGTCCTTTATCTGTATAATCGTTTCCGGGATATGATCACGGTGCCGTCCTTCCACGCTCTTCAAATGGCACATTTGTCTGGCCAAGGTTATGCCAAGAATGATAACCTAAAAGTAAACTGAGCACAATCGATGTGTACATTCGATTCCCCCCCCCCCTTTTTTTTTCTTAGTCACGTGGAATTACCATAAATAGGCACTTCCACGTGCCATTAGATTATGGAATAGCCTGCTCCACAACATAGCTTCATTGTCTAAACCTGACATATTCCGTCACAAACTAATTGTGCATTTTTAAATAGGTCATCAATTAACAAGGCCAGATTTGTACATATTGTGTCAGTACTTTACATCAATTCTGTAAGTATTATGCATGAGGGGTTGAATTTATATATGATGTATAGTCGTTTCCTTCTGATATGATATGTGGGGTTTAACGTCCCAAAACCACCATATGATTATGAGAGACGCCGTAGTAGAGGGCTCCGGAAATTTCGACCACCTGGGGTTCTTTAACGTGCACCCAAATCTGAGTACACGGGCCTACAACATTTCCGCCTCCATCGGAAATGCAGCCGCCGCAGCCGGGATAGTCGTTTCCTTCTGGTTTTCGATATATTCTTATTTTGTGTTGAATGATGTAATTTCAGAGCCCCACTACAAAACGCCCAATGGGCCTGTAAGGTATTTAAAAATAATAAATTAAGCGTGGCCCATATACAGTATTCATATCATATATAGGTCAACATTAGTCTCACTTGCTTACCCACACCAGTACGCGGTGTGCAGGCGCAGAAAGAAACAAATTCGCGTTCGCACGAGCATCAGAAGGTCACCTGAGTGCCTTTGTCCTTGAACGTCCTCTCGAGTGAGAACGGGAGAGAGGGAAAAGAGAAAGTGTTGGGATCGTCAATACAAGCGGCGAAGGAAAATGCCTGCGCAACTACAAGAGGTGAGAAAGCAGAGCTGGCCGGGTGACGTGCTAATAGACCATGGCGGCTGCCGTGCACCATCTACCATGGTTTACTTCAATCAGGTATGTAGAAGACGTTTGCACTTTACGTAAGCACAGTTAGTCTCGTCGCATACTATACGAGAATAGTCATCCGAGGACAAAAAATAACTGATGCTCAAAGCAAGGTTTTTGCTTTTTTTTCTTTAGTCTTCAAGCATCAATTGCGCTTTGCGTATCTTACAAAGTCGGCGAAACCCAAACTTTGACAGTCATTTTGTCTGACGATATAAACAAACGTGATACGTCATACTATACGTGACGACAGATTGGCAGAGAAGGAAATTAACAGGCTCGAAAAGGGAGCCATGGTGAGCGAGTGCCAGATGGCATTCAGTAAATTCGGTATTAAGTTAATACGGGCACTGTTCCTGTATACGGTGAAATCCGCATTGGCAAGCTTTTACTCTATAGCTTGTAAGGCAATGCATATAGATTTTGAAGTGCGCGATACAGCACTATATGGTGGATCACGTGACATTGACATCGTGGCAGTTGACCTGAGAGTGACCTCAAACAACAGAGACGTCCAGATTGCGGAACGCCTACAGTATGATGACGTCATTTTGCCGGCATAGGGCATTTGCCGCGATTCCACCAGCAAGCTACTATTCGTCGTCTGCTCGCGAGTCCGTGTCAAGGAGACCATGGCTATAACGCGCAGAAAGTATGGTAGCCTCAAGAAAGTCGTTGCAGCTACGACGATACAACGACGGGCACGACGGTGACGGTGCAGCACATGCAGCCGGAGAAAGAAAGAACGCCGGCAGGCAATGTACACGCGACGCGACTGCGCCACATTTTATGTGAGCCGTTTCACACGCTCACGGGGTACCAGCTGGCTTGTTGGTCTCCTAGCTTTCCAAAACCTAAGCCGAGACTGCTCCGTAACAAACAGACTAATCATCTGTCGAGCCCTGCGACAAGTGATGTGCCGGTTTTAGGACTATAATAGGTCCCCGGCAACATATTACTGAAATAAAACGCTAAACCAAAGTTTTTGGGTCAGTATACCATTTAACAGAGGCTACACTGAGAAGCATAAACAGTGAAGTTATTTTTTGATGTAAAAAAATGTGAGCTGTTGCAGACTTTTTTTTCTTTACATGTATACCACCACGCTTCTATACTGCCGCTTGTTTTTTACCGTGCACTTCAATTAAGTATGTCATCATTAGGATGGGTATTCTATAATGTGACGTGCGTGTTTTTTTCTCTCGCTTACATGTCTTTTTGCTCGTCACTCGGGTTCAAAGGAAGCCGCCATAGCCCGTATTCGAGCTCGCTACTCTGTGCTTCTTTGTGCTTTTCTGTGCTTCTCTGTGCTTCTCTGTGCTACTCTGTGCTACTCTGTGCTACTCTGTGCTACTCTGTGCCATGTCCATCCATGCCCGGCCCATGGACATGGGCCGGGCATGTAGCGCGTAGACAGAATAACCGCTGGTCGTTAAGGGTAACTAACTGGATTCCCAGAGAAGGCAAGCGGGTTAGGGGGAGACAGAAGGTTAGGTGGGCAGATGAGATTAAGAAGTTTGCAAATATAAATTGGCAGCAGCAAGCACAGGACCGGGTTAACTGGCGGAACATGGGAGAGGCCTTTGTCCTGCAGTGGACGTTATCAGGCTGATGATGATGATGATGACTATGTGCTTCGAAGAACAACAGAGTGACTGAGCCGGCACGGTGGGTAACAAGAGCGTGCGGCAGCGTCAGGGGACGAGAAACGTCAGTATAAAAGAGTGCCAGTGATTTCTATTGTGGGCGTTAACTCTTCGTTGTCCCTCCACATTTATCACGTGGCGTTCTGCGTCGTAGCTCGTGAAGACTTATACTGATTGCGACAAGTGCTTCCTCTATATGTTCTGGTTGGTTCGCCGTGTCTTCGGAGCCTCAAATTATAGGCTGCATTAAATGCTGCCGCACCAGAATTGATGGTGTATAGGTGCCGCGCTATCTGAAAATATGGGTACAAAGGCGGAACAAATATGGGGTGAAGCTGGTCTTACAAGCCACCGAAGTGAACCAATAAACTCTCTCTGCGCTAAACAATGGAAGAGACAGAAACATAGAAACGAAAGTTAATAGGAAGAAAACAAAATGAAGATGAAGGAACTGTTGAAAATTTGAAACCAAAGGCATATAGCCAAAACTTATCAGAAGGCGAACTGCACGAGCTGAGCTGATTAAATGACGATCCTTATTGCGTTTTAACAAAACTAACTTCACACAATCGGTTATACGTGACCGGGTATCGCAGCACCTAATTAAGTTGTCTCTCCCTTTCTCTCATCAAGCTGGTTAGCCAATAAAGCAGAAACATGTGGTCCTGGTGTTTGTCACAGGGTTAACACCGACGGTTGATTAATGGCGTTCTCGATTATTGGTTACGTTTGTCCCAAAATGTTTATAAGTATCTGTCGCCGGTGTGTTCCGTTCTTTTGTAGTGGACCAGTGGTGAGTATTGGGAGGCCTGCCCAATTTTTACGGCACATAGGAGCTAGGACTTCTTGCGTACGCAGGACGGGAAAACTTCGGTGTCATTAAGCTGCATGCAACTTAGCTGCAATATTTACGGGGCCGAATAAAGTTTGACAAACTCAATAACTTGTTTTACAGTATGATGAAGAATGGCCAGCTGATTTCTTCAAATGACGCGCGAAGTGCTGGCGGGGACGGCATCTTCGGTACTTTCAAAGAAACGGAAAAGATGAAGCAAGATGCCATGCGGAAACTGCGGGAGCTCCTTGCAGGTGAATCTATATACGCACTTTCTATTTAGGATGCCAAACCGAGCTTAGGAGCTTGCCTTTGAATGGCAGCCTTCCAGCGTTGCAAAGCGTAAACTCTGGAGAGCACGCGGTCTTTGTCGCTTGGACAATAGCAAGTTACGTCATCGGGTATTCATTCACGTGTCCTCCGAGGCATTGTAACCAGAGCGCACCACAAATCCTAAAGTCATGTAAGATTTCCGCCGAGACAGTAATGCTTCACGAAGCGTCGGATAACTTCGCAATCCACATAAGAGGGTACCAGCTCTGTTTCACCACCACGTGCCATCTATATAGGCCGTATCTCAATACCCCGAGCACATAGTTCCTTTCCTTTAGAGCTAGAGTGATAAGTATGGTTAAATTGTATTTATGACACACACACACACACACACACACACACACACACACACACACACACACACACACACACACACCACACACACACACACACACGCACAGACACACACACACACAGACACACACACACACAGACACACACACACACACACACACACACACACACACACACACACACACACACACACACACACACACACACACACACACACACACACACACACACACAAATGTTAAAGTGCCGGCTCGTATACGTTCCAAGAATGACGCGTCAGAAATTTCAGTTCTGAATAAAGCTTCGCACTCACGTCTCTTCCAAACGGCACATATGCAATGTTTCGTTGAAGTAATAATGACTTATTGTTCCTGAATCAGACATGACAAAATAGAACAGATTTCAGAGAATTAACTGGCTCAATTTTGGGTTTTAATGTATTAGTGACGCATTGGAGCAGGAGCACCTGTGAAAACATTGAATTCCAGAGCTGTAAAATCCAGAGGTGTTGACAAAAATGTTTTTCTGGGTGAGTAGTGTGAAGTTGTTCATAAAATACCCCAGAGCGGTAGCGCGAAAATACCACGGTCAACAATAGATCTAGACCAGACAACGCTAACATATCAGTGTCTATTGCCCGTGCTCACGTTAAATACACGCAACACCACGCTAAAAAAAAGAAGGAAGGGTGCTAAAGGATACACAAAGTAATTGACCTAGCAAATCCAACAAGCGGCTGAAGAATCGAGCATAGGGGGGAGGGATGAGTAAAGGTTTCATCTACAGACTATGTCAGTACGTGTGTGTGTTTTAACGTGTGCGTGTATATATGAATAATTGAAATTTTTTAAGTGTATTGTACACCCCCCTTCTTACCCGCGTTGGCAACACCAATGGTAGATTCATCGGGAGTAGGAGGAAGGCGTTAAACGAGGCAGGCAGATATAGCCTTCTAAGATACGCCGGTCATTTCTCCACACGGTTGATTTCTTGCATAAATTATGAAAAGCATCAACGTTCAATGAAAGCGCTGTGCGGAAAGGCGAAGAAGACGACCGCAGCGAGGTGAAACAGATTACACGCCAGAGCTCCCCGAGCCATGGCACGCATGCCGCTTTGTCGTGCAATCCACCAGAACTAACGTATACGATACCTTTAAAAAACATGCACAGTAACCCCACTCCATTCCACCATACAGCACTCTCCCCTTTAATACCTTGGCGATGCAAGTTCCATTACCTAAGTCTGTATCATTTAAAAACTTTAGAAGCTGTTGTGGCTCCCCCTTCTTTTTTTCTGAATGTCCAATGTCCACGCGGAGACACCATTTTGGTATTTCGGGGGTGGGGGGGGGGGGGGTTGAGAGCTTAGCGCTTCGAGGAAGTGTTTTTTTTCCACTGCACATCTTTCCTGTTTTCTCGAAACATTTGAGTTTTGTTAAATTAGCTGGTGTAATATACCAGCTGATGGATTTTCTGTGGTTTCCGATGCGTGCTTTAACATCAGCAATAGCAGGGTCCTTCACTGCTTACGGAAGGACCCTAAAAAGTACAGAAAGACCTCAGTAATAGTAAAGAAGGTGAGGAAAAGCAAGACACAACCTAATGAAACTAAGACACAAAGAAGCCAAGAAATGCCCAAGATACATTATTTTGAGCGTAGCTGCATGGTTGCAATTATGATGTGTACATGCAAGTAAATTGCAATGGACGAAAACAACTTTTCGCCTGTCTGGGCCGAACCTACTATCTTCGGACAACGCGTCGGATGTTCTACTAAATGAGCTATGGTGGCGGTCATCATCCCGGTCACCTTATTGGTGTTTATGGATATTGCAATTTTTCTTCTTCCAGGAGAACTTGGATACAATATAAACCCACTAAAATACATGCTAGCTGCAATAAGAAAACGAACAGTTTTTGTTTGTAATTGTTTCATGTACTTGCTTAAATTGTAGGTGAAACCCAGCTCAAGTGCCCAGATAACGATGCATTCCTCATCAAGTTCCTCCGTGCTCGAAAGTATAACGTTGACAGTGCGTTCAAGAACATCAAGAAGTACTTCAAAGTACGACGAAACCACCCCGAATTATTCGACGAACTGGATCCAGACTTTGTTCTGTTCGACACTGTGTGCCGGAAGCACAAGCTAGTCACACTGTCCCGAGAAAGAGACGCTAAAGGGAGGGCCATCATCGTATTGAATCTGGGTAAGCATTGTATGTATACAGTATTTATTGTATTACACCACAATCTTTTATTTGATAACATTATTTATTATTTGTAGTGCCACCATCACCATCATCATTTCTCAATGACCGCCCCGCGCCTCTCGCGCAGCTGATGCTAGCTCGAGCTGCGCGAGGATTAGAACAAGCTAGCGCACTTGGTGTGTCGGACGTGGAAAGCCTCGCGACTCCGCTTCAGGCGTGGAATAAAGTGGCGAGGGAACGACACGACCACGTTGGCCGCCGTCCCGTCTTCCCCTCTCGCTACATATTTATATAGACTACCTCTTTGTTTTTATTTATTACACCCTCTGACTGATTGTTCGGCTTCAAATAAAGAACTGACAGAAAGAGAAAGGGGGGATGTGGTAGTAACTCAGTTCGACTAAACAAAGTAATATCACGCAATGAAAAAAAAAATGCCAAAAAAAAACTGACATTTTGTATAAAAATGCCACATGAAGTACTCACGAGCACAGTATTACATTGCACCGGTAATTTTTGTTTTTATATGACAACTGGAGACGTTCTTGTTTTTCTATTTCAGGCACTCACGATCGAGCACTAGCATTTTTTTTGAATATGCGGAAAAATTCTAAAAAAAAATAAAGCTGGCACAAACTCGATAGTTCTCGTTGAAGTTGCATATGATGTCGCAGCATGCGTTAGCTTGTGATAAGTGTGAATAAACTGTCAAAATATTCAACGAAAAGAACTGAATGACTGCATTGGAAGAAGCGACGGTTTTTTTTTTTGGGGGGGGGGGGGGGGCAGCTGGGATTCCTGTGACAGGGTAGATCCGCTCTCAACGACGTACACGCGTACTCTACGCGGTCTCGTAGATCCGCTCCGGCACCGCGACGAAACACAGTGTTAATCTGAGCAATACACTAGGGCACACGATTGTCGTGGTGCGAGTTCCATTAGCCGGCGCATTAATGAAGGATTATAGCCCCTTCCAATTTTTAACACGAAAGCGTTTTATGCAAGGGTTCACCAAGATTTAACTGAGATCATTTCCGGCACAGATGTGACGTCGGTAAAGTACTAACCAAGAGATGACAATGAAATACAAGCAAAATTTTGCCTATTTTTCGACCTGGGAGTCAAACCCACCAAGTGAGAGGAGCCGGACGCCTTCCACTCTCTGCATTATCTGCGCTCATCCGCGGGCTTTTCTAAACGCGCCTAATATCTTTTACGGCTCCCTTTCAGGAATACACAGGTTCTCGTGGCAGTCTATGAGAGAGGAATTACTGCATCAATACACTCAGGAGCATCGACAACATAGGCGTGCGCAAGGGGGAGGGGGTAAGGGCAAGGGCGTAAAAGCCAGCCCGAGACATGAACATCATAGGCAGGGAGGCGAGAGCAAGGCGCAAAGTCAGCCCCATACATTGACATGATAGGAAGGGGGGTGCTGCAATGAAATTGCACTCTCACTCCCCCTGAAGGGGAACCCTGCTCCCGCTTATATCGGAAGGACGAGTTTTGGTAACATCGGCGCAGATGAGGTTGGCTCTTAAATTTCTACTACATTTCGTTTCAATACAGTTTAAAGAGTGCTTTATGGCAGAGAGAGAGACACGCAAAAAAAAAAAAAAGCAGTGAAACACCTTCATTTGTACAATGATCGAGCTACGAGCTCCGCCTCTGGCGTTTTTGAAGCTCTGTGTAGAAGTGTTTGCATGAGAATAAGTGTAGGTCATCCAATTGCTGGAGAGCGTACATCTTTCTGCTTTTTTTTTACACAAATAACGGCTATTTACACGAGCTCTTACCGAGTACTAGGGATTAGGTGCTTTTTGATACAATATTTGCGCTGGATTCACCATACGCTGTTTCTGGATGTTAGTCCATCTTTGGTGTTAGTCGTCGGGATGGTAATGTGCCACTATGATCTACTTAAGTGTGTCTGCATCAAACGGTGCTAGAGCCGCCGAAAACCAACAGACAGTGTGCAAGCTCTCATTTATAAACGCGCAATAAACATTCAACCACTTCTGTAACGACAGCATCACTTTCGTGTTATACCGATTTCTATGACGGGGGTATCAACCATGTTTTTTTTGTTTCATTATCAGTTCACGTAATTTTTCGTTTAAGCAAACATGCTTCATGTGCAATCGCACTCTATGACCACAGAAAAAAAGTAAAAAAATGTCATAAAATGTGCTTATATATTTGTTTGCATCGCTTATAATATTATGTGTACGAAAACAGAAAATATTCACTTTGTTGTAAATTTACAAGTTGTTCTCGGGATCTGTGGCAACTCATAGAGTAACTGGGCACTTGTACATTTATGGTTACAACAGAACACATTATATAGACGTGTTCCATTGCACAAGCAAAGATGAGAGCAACTATGTCTTTAACATGCTGATTTTCGAGCAATTTTTTCGGAACAAGTATACTGGGTTCTAAATAAACATGGTGCTTTTGACAATCACTAAAACATACCTTCTTCGCTCAGATGTAAAATAGTGTCATTGAAGGTATTCAAAAGCGTCTCACAAAAGCGTTTCTGCATTTAACGCGTGCTTGAATAAGCAAAATCAATAGTGGCTCTCTATACTAAAGATGGCCGTTAGATTGCCGTCTTGTGAGTTCAACGCTTTTATTTGGGTTGAGAGCTTCGTTTTTTTATGCAACTGACATTCTTAGATTACTTAACGTGTGTGTTTTTTAATGCTTGCCCCTCATTGCATCTTGTGTGAGAGGAAATCCAAGCGTAAGAGAAGGTTTAGGAATTCCTAAACGTAACCTAATAGGGAGAGTGTTTCACTTTCACTAGGAAAAGAATTTCTTGAAAACTATGTTTTCATTCAATTGAAAGAAGGGAGCGTTGATAAAAATGGAAGGCTTAATCGCAACAGTGTAAAACAAAAGCGAACAATTCCTTTTATGTCTTGTTATCCCTTCTAGATTTCTAAGATGGCATTCAAATGACCCACTGTTCACCTGCATGGCTACTCCTGCTCTACTTTTAGGAACCTGGAACACTGGCATCTGTAAATTGGACGATTTTTTCCGGATCGGCACAGCCTTGGTGGAACATTTACTTCTCGATGATGAAGTCCAGCTAAAGGGTGTCATCTTTGTCATGGACTTTAAGAACCTCGGCCTCTACCATTCGACCCAGTACACATTACCAGTCATCAAGAGGCTATTGAGCCTTATGCAGGCGAGTGAAAAGGCTTCATTCCCCGACTGTGTAACGTGAACCCGACAGGAAAAATCTCCCACTGACACCACCTTGCAGGTCAAAGCGTAAGAAATGTTACGTAGTACGACGAGGGACGAGCGGTGCCGCTTTAAGGAGCTTCGCCCCTAAAACGACCCCCTGCCCTCATCTAGCCTCCAATAGTTGAATAATTTAATTCGAGGTGGCGTCACCCACCACTTTTCGTTTTCGCACGCTTTTTTGCTTATGAAGTTCTCTCTTGCGGGAGGCATGGCGTTATTGGTATTGTGGCAGAGTAATCTACTAATGTGCAAAAAGAGAATCGCTTTTCTATTTAGTGTTCCATTAAATAAAAATGATACACGAATAATAAACATTATTCATGAGCTAATATCATTATAAATTTCATGATAAAGATAGTGGATTGATGACTTCATCGCTTCGATGATATTGGAGCTGTGAGCATAAACGCCTTTATATTATGATCGATATGACATCAAAAGTCCTGCAGAATTTTGGGATGCATGCATCTTTGTTGTCAAATGTTAAAAGCAAAAAAAAAAAACACGTCTGGTTGTCCATCTCCGTTTTGGTTTAACTAAGACCTTTTTTTTTCTTTCAGCTGTGCCTGTAATATGCAGAATGTTTACAATTATGAGGTATTTCTAACATGCACCATTTGATTTGAGTGCCGCGTCAAATACGGCATTGATTCATCCTGGAAAATTTCCGAGTATTAACACACCCCTACATCTAAACATTGACCCGTCGTGTGCTTGGCCGGAATATTTTTACCTTCCAGCTTCAATAACACTTTTTACGGCTTCACTGAAGTACTGGCTTACATTGCATGTAAAAATAAAAAGAAACCTTCCATCTCCTTTTCCTTACTTGAATAGGAGATGCAAAATCAAACTATTTCATGACGGGGTATTCGTCTCGTTCTGCAATCAATGCCATTCCTAAAAATGAACGCGAGAAGCATATCTCAGAAGCGTATAGCTTCTTTTAGTTCATGTTTTTTCCCCTACGATTACGACTCGCACGCACACATTACCAGATGAGATAGCGGAAAATTTACCACACAAGTTTTGGTTCTGAGATGAAAAAGTCAAGCCTTTCACAACACTTGAAAGCCCACTCATAGCTCTTCTTTCCAAATATTGCACTCTGTTCAGTTTGTGAATCTAACATTGTCATCTATTCTGACTCCAAGAAAAACGTGGTGCCATGTGTTAAATCCTAAAGTTTAGTAGGCCACGAAATGTCATACACATTAAAATTCACTTTATTTGTAACCAAGACATTTGAAGTCGTTTTGTGGTGGTATGGCTTACGGAAAAAAAACTAGAACAAGAGCGTTTGCATAATTGTGGGCTAAATCAACAAATGATGCGAGATATTTTGTTAATAAGGGTAGCACCGACATCAAGGCTTGCTACGCAAAACTTCAAACTGCGACAGTTTTTAATGCAGCCTAAATTGGCTTACAGCAGAACCTGAAGCCTCCATTTGGCAGCGAAATTGATTAGGCTGCTCAAAAAAGTATTATTATCCAGTTTGTTTTTTGTCCTCAACTCCCGAAACATCTTCATTTAGTATTCATGCAGCAAGCGCTGTTTCCTTGCCTGAGGTGAAGAAGCTTGGTAAAAAGTACCATGTGCTTACTTCTGTTTCAGGACTGCATGCCACTGAGGATAAAAAGATTCTACGTTACAAACAACCCTGCTTTGTTTGATATCTTGTTCGCAATAGCCAAGCACTTCATGAAAACCAAGCTGGTCAGAAGGGTGAGGAATCTATTGATACAATTTCTAACTGCACGATTGTTACGTGTACCTCTTGATCGCAAGAACAGCGCATAAACAAAGCACCAACACTGAAAAACAAACACACGTATCTATGTATTCGTTTGTTGTTTGTGTGCTGCTTTTTTCATTTAAATCTTCAACAAACGATTATCGCGAATCACTACCTTTGTTACGTTTACTACAATTATTTATTTATTTGTATATATAACAAAAAAAGACGCGTCAGCTCCTTTACAAATCATTTAATTTAGTTCACTAACTGGGAAAGCATCTAAAAAACCTACAGTCACTGACTCACCAAATAGTCAGCTCAAAAAGACAGCGGGACAGTGGGACGACGTTAGCTACACAATACAGCGTCTTTTACTTCCAGACTCACCTTTTTGGCACCGACTGGAATAGGCTACGCAGCTTCATACCGGATGACGTCATTCCAGAGGAAGGCGGCGGCAGGCTCGAAACCTACGACTACGACGCTATGGAGAGAGACTTGAAGAGCCGGACCGAATACTTCAAGGAAATGAGAAGCTGGGGCTACCTGCACAAGCCGAAAGAATGAACCGAATAATAAATCATAATCAGTCCAATGCAGCGCTGCCACACCTTCGTACATGAAAAAGTCGTGCCCTTTGAGTGATTATAGGTTAAGCTGACTTCGTACTCCGACTCGCTAGGTAGGCCTGATTTCAGGCATCGGGATCTCCTCGCATATGTAATCTAGCAAAGCGAAAATTGATGAAGGTTCCGCCAACAACACGGCGTTATTGCCACGCGCATTTATTGCTTTCTTTTGGTGTGTTCAGGTTTCACCCCCAAAGAGGCGGGGACTAAGACCTCCCTCCCCCAAAATATGTAAAATTTTACGCGTGCATATACAGACCCACCCGTACACACAGATGCTCAAAATACCATAAAGGGTAATTGAACCACTTCCGACACCCCACCGCCGCTAATACTTTCTGACTTCGTCCATGCTACACCTATGCCGTCAGATGACACGTGAAATTTTGACGTTATAGCCTAAAGGAGAGTACCAAAAAAGCCTTTGTTTTACTTCCTCAAAATAAATGCGCACCAGGTTGTGATATATACATCTGTAGCAATATATACAGATTGATTTCAGAATTATATTTTTACCCCCCCCCCCCCCCCCTATTGTATGCTTACGTAGTAAAAGCGGCAAGCTGTTCTAATGCAGCTGAACCCCCTTATAAGTGACACGCATCGGGGAGCATTTCTTGTCCCTTAATTTAGGCGTTTCTTACAAGCAGGGTACAACGTATGCATTTTCGTAACCCCTATTCCAGTGTAGGTCCACTGGTGTCTCTTTCGACCATCTGTCGCTTACATCAATGTCTCTTAAAAAGAGGTACGACTGTTGTTTTAAATAGTCCTCAAAAGCATATTATAAATTGCCTCACTTATATCACCCGCTTATAATTTAATATAAGGGTGCTGCGCGCAGCTAATGGGCTAAAATAGATTGATTCCACGAGAAATCCAAAATACATGTCCAGGTCAATACTTTTTTTATTTCGTCTGCTTCCGAAGTGTACGGAACCGAAAATTTAATTCCCGAAAAACACTCTCAGTGCAGTGCAACAAACTTTCGAGGGTGGTGGCGCGGGTTCCTTGTTTTAGCTTACTGCAACTTTTTCTGATTTCGTAGCCGAATTTAACGCGAACCGTAAAGGTAGGCTAAAAAATTCTTGCTGCGTATTTTAGTATGCATCGTTGCAGATTATATTTATATTTTGCTCTCGGTGTGCTCAAACTAAAAAAAAAGATGTTCCAAAAGTGCCAAAGGTAGGTTAAATAAAACTAATTGGAAACTTTGATGCTCCTTGGCGTGTTTGCTATTTCACTGAGAAGCTTAAAAAATTTTTCAATTATAGATCGAAGCCTTTGCAACTTTAGTGCAAAACATTGTTTTTGTACGGGACGCTCAAAAGGAGAAGAAAGGCAGTAAAAAATGCGAAGCGAAAAAATGGGCACGTAGTCCATTTCAAAAAGAATAAAAAAACTCTGATCTCACTCTTGACCAATATTATTTATCTATATGAGCACTTATGTCAATCAAAACATGATGTCAGCATTATTTGTCCTATTTTTCGTTGTTTTTGTTCCCAAGAGGTAATTGACAAAACTGACCTGTGCAGTGTGGGTTTACTTCAGGCCCTGGCTGGTTATTGTTAGCTTGCACTGCGGGTTAGCGAACCCTCGTTCTGGTGGCTTGTCCTCACTAAAGTGTATTGTGCAATGTTCTTTGTGTCTAGCGTGTGTGGAGCTGTGCGGCCACCCTACAAAGGCATAGAGCACACGCAAGTTGTAACCTGCAACATCAACTTACCCCTTTATAATTCGCTAGTGACCAGTATTCGAGACACTGCGAGCACGTGTTTTAGGTAACCTTCAAAAAACTAGCCTCGCGCACACATCAAAGCCACGGCAGCAGTTCAATGTAATCTGCAAATAATTTACAAAATCAGCCGGCGTTCTGTTATGGAGTGTTTCATGCTTATCTGCTTCCCTTCAGTTATGTGCATTGCATATTCTAACCATCTTTCTTAGTCGACGTTTACTGGGCCTAAACAGTACTTGGAAAAAAAAATATCCCAGTCATTTCTTGTGCCGTGTACAATGATTACCGTTATCCCATACTTTCCGTCGAAGAGGACGTCTTCCTGTGTCACCTCAACCTGCACCTGAGTGTTTGAGCAGCCAGAAGATGCGCAGCGCGGCATGATTAAGCCACAGATGGGCGAAACCGCCCAATTTATCATGTTTTTGACAACACCTTGTTAACCTAATTTTTTCACTCGTTGAGAATAGCAAATGTTAATGGTGGTGCAAGACGGACATCGTTTATCGACAATGAGTGTGGTAAACGCGATAATTGTCACAGCAGAATGCCGCTGGGCAGTCTTGATCATAAAATGACAAACCTCGAATCGTTCTGGTGACTCGTCTCCATCAGCTGCGCAGAGGCGCGATAATTAATAAGCGATGCGATGACGAGTATTAACTCTTCGACTTAGTCTAGCTCTTCTCTACACGCGATGCGTGCAGCTTATGACTAGGTATGAGTATTTGGTGCCGAATATTTGCGCATTCACAAAAAAAGTGTTACAGAGAAGAATTTTCGTTGCGTAAATATATTCTTGTTTTTGCCTACCTGCGGAAGCTACCGTCACAGGTTGTAATTGTAATTGTTGTAATGTTCCGAGTACTCTACTTGCGGTATGTTTCTGCTTTGCTGCCAGGGTGGCACGACCAAGTCAGGCTTTTACTTAGCCTTTAGTCATGTCCCCCAAGGCAATCTTGTTAAAACCAGACCAAACCAAACAGACAGAGAATATTCGTGACAACTACGATGGCTGCATGCAATGCCTTACGAGCCTCACGGAAGTCTTGTATACATGTATGAGAACAGTGATGAGGCAGACTAGGCATTTTTTCATTAGCGTTCCCATTTCTTCGGGGGAATGTGGGTGAGCTTGTAGGCTTCGAACTGTGTACGCCTAGCTCTTTATAGTGCGTCTGTCCACTCCGTACACATAAGAGACAAAAGCTGAAAGAAATTCTTCCAATAAGAAAGCATCTGACGTTTGCCACAGTGAAATATTTGAACTATAGGTATAACCACAATGCAAGTTGATAACAACCAGCAAAGGCACTGAAGTGTGCCGAATTTGCATATAGGCTGTTCTGGCCATTTATGTCTTATGAACAAAGAAAATGAGGACATATAATGTTGAGACCGTGTTTTGACTCTCATAAGCGCCATTCAATAAGAAATTTTCGTCAAAATTGAGACCAGGCTTTTAAAAAATGTTTTTATGAAAAAAATCACAGCATATCCAAGGAGTGAATAATGATAAGTGGGGCAATGCGCTGGAGGGTTTCATCGCTAAACCGGGAACCGTCTGCGAATATTACCCAATACATCATCAAAGACGTGACAAACACTGTATATAACTATACAAGAAATTTTATTATTCGTAAGCGGTAGCTATACGTCGCGTCCGTTCACCCTCAATTTAACGGCTTTTGGGTCGGTGAAGTGGTGGATTGGTGATTGGGTGTAGTTGAATGTTTGCAAGGGCGCACTAGCAGGCAGTTCGCAAAAGTGGAACTACAGGCGGTCACCTACAAACAAGAGGTGGACACAGTGGGACAATATATATGGTCCTTTAACGCGCACCTGGATACAAGTACACGACCATCTTGCATTTCGTATCGGCATTTTCTCAGCAGTATTTGTTTTATGGTTGGTGAAGTCGTGGATCGGTGATGAGGCATAGTGGGATGTTTGCAAGGACGAAGTAGTAGATAGTTGGCAAAGGTGTAACTATAGGCGGTCACGTACATACATACAAGAGATGGACAGACCCACGCCTTTAGGATCTTCGCACCTAAAATTTCGCTTTTTAACTACTACTTTCTTCTTTTGCACGTCCTGTACGAAGCGATCTTTTGGAGAAATGTTGCGAAGGCATTCTTTTACAATTGACACTTCTTTCAAGCTTCACTGTGAAATAGCAAACGCACAAAGGCGAATAATTGTTAGCAAAAGTTTCTTGATTTGGGCCAGACTTGCCATTTTTGACATTTCTTTTCTTTTCATGGCAGCATGAGGAAACCATCACTGTAATTTTCAATAACGCGTTTTAAATCCAGTAGAAAATATTTTCGTATGTTTATAACTAATTATTCAGCCGTGAAATCAAAAATTGTTGCAGTAAAAAAAAAAGCAAACCCATGCCACGACCTTCAAATATTTGTTTACCGCACTAAGTGCATTTTTCAGAAATAAGATTTCCGGTTCTGTGAACTTTAAATGTGCCCTCCCAATGCAAGAGCAAAGCAGACAACAACAACAAAAAATATCCACCTAGGCATGCCTGTTCGATCTCTCATGAAATCCCTTAGTATTGTGGCAGCAGCTCTTTCACTTTTGTTTGTTTACTTCCTGGTGTATCTTCAGGCCATTGGAAACAGTCCAGGAGAGGGGCACGCGACGAAGCCCGACGATATTTATGGAACAAGTGAGCAGTCACACAGCGCGGAGGCCTTGAATCCTCCTCCCCACGAGATATCGTGAGCAAGAAACAAAAAAAGAAAACAAAAAAATACTGAAAATAAGATAACAGAGGAAACGATTTGGCATCCGTTGTTTGAGCGCGCGCCTTCGTGTTGCTGAAGTGCAGGAGGAGTGCGAGGGAGAAACGACGAAATTGCCCACCACCGCTTCGCGGCGAAACAGGTTGCTGCGCGGTCGCGTGCGCGCTACAGCCGTGGGCACGCTCCAAACAGCCGTGTTTTGGTTTATAGTTCGAACTCGCTCTCCGGCGGAGAGAAAACGAAATCGAAGGAGAAGGGAACGACACGCTTCAACTTCGCAGGTACGTGGCTTGACGAAAAAGTGTACCACCCGACAAAACATCTCGATGTCGACAAGACCTGTCGAACGGATTTCGAACAGCGCGTCGTAGCACACGAACGTCGGGAAAAGTTACAGCGTCGACGAGACTTCTCAAAACGCTGCTTCCTGGTCAGCGGTTACGAAACAAGGTCGCAAGATCTGTGCCACCTTCGTGTTTTTCGTGTCTGATTATACTTCTGCGTGCGTATCTGGAGTGCATCATTTACCTTTCCGGATTGTGGATACGACCGTTTGAGCAAAGGTACAGTTTTCTTTTTCACATAACAGTAGATGGGATGGTGATGATGAGTTCGATAACTCGGGTAACCCTGGTTGCACGAGGATAAAAGGATCAATCAATCAATCAATCAATCAATCAATCAATCAATCAATCAATCAATCAATCAATCAATCAATCAATCAATCAACTCTAGTGTTTGCCGCAAATGCCCAGCTACGATTATTCTGGAAAATAAATCTTGTTTTCATGTACTTTGTTTACGTTGACGAAGTGGCATAAACGATAATTTTCAGTTAGAATGGACACATGGTGACAAAGACTGTAAGAAGACGACATCATCAATTATTTTAGTAGAAGCTTGAGCGCGTTGGCATACATTAATATTTGTGAATATGTGCACATGACGAGATTTCGAGCAGTCTTGACAATGTCCTTCGTCTGGCTTCAAGCTTTGTCAAGCACACACATTTGCTAGAATATATCATCAGTATAATGTATACAAACTTGTTGCACAAGTCTTAGCTATGAATTAGTACCGACTGGCCCAACTTTCAGTAATATTTATACAAACTGGTTACTCTAGTTATGAACGCCAGGAAGTCAGAAATACAAAGGGGGGGGGGGGGGGGGTAGTTATGAGATACTTCCATTCATGTTAGCTAAATAAAGGCCCCAAAACCACTGCGAGTTCGAAGACAAGGTTTGTTTGTTTTGTTGTCGCCTTCACTACCCATACTGCAAGCACTTTTTCCTCCTCGTCACTTATTTCTACATAAAACACACCAGTAATACCAGCTTTAAGCACCGAACTTTTATAAGGATTTTGCGGTTTTCGGCTACACGCAGTTGTCTCCGTTTGCGCAGTCTAAAATGCACGAAAACGAAGGGAAATCACCTGATTGCGCATGATAGCTGCTATAGAGACAAGACCTGATGGGCGTATGCCTGGCAAATATAGGTAGGAGAAACTTCACGACATATATCGTTCTTTTATAAACCAATCGAGAGCTTATTTCCTCATTACCGTTGGCATAAATTAGGAGGAGGGGGGTCACGGGGATCCAGACCACCATTGTTTTATGGCTCTAAAGGGGGGGGGGGACTCTTGGAAGCGTCCCCCCTATATAAATTTAGCTTTACAAGTTAAGTTAGGTATAGTGAATTATACTCTTTTTAAGGCTAAATATTTTATAACGTGTACCTGTGTACAACACTCATCAGCTGTGTGAGGCTATTGCAGAAGCCACTCGATGGGTTCAAAGAACACTGAGTAGAACAACGCGATTACTCGAAGTTAGACCCAATGTTCGTCTTTGAACGTTATTTCATAGCACGCCTACATTTTTATAAAAAGAAAGCACGACCTATATCTTTAAAAACAAATTGATTGGCACTGTCTGATTTGTGTCCCCCCTTGAGTTTTTTACTGGATTTCCGCCACTGTCCGCTGCGTCATATGAACAGACTGATGGCGTCCAGAATTATGCCGAAAAGACTGGAAACGCCCGGAGAGAATGACGCCTAACAAGGCGTGGGTGCGAAAGAAGGCGTGTCTAACAAGTTTTGCGCAAAAAGCAGTAGAACGGAGAACAGCACACTCGTACTTCATATCTTCAGATGTTGTTTAGGTCCTTTTAGGTCACTTCTTAGCGGGAACCGCTTTGCTTCAGTAGGCACACCAAGGACATGGCGCATATCGCGCGGCTTATATATATAGGTCGGTGTCTATCGTGAGGCTAGATCTTGGCGCAGCGCGTGGAAGCCATGTTTTATTCTTTCTTTATCGATTCCGGGACTTTCTTCGCAGTTGTAGACGTATACCTTGTCTCAAACGTACCAGACGGTTTTAACGCCCCTCTAAGCGACAGCTTTTGTATGTGTCTGCTGCGCACCCTGATGCAGGAAGATCTTGAGAAGAAAAATATGACTGCGCGTTATCGCCAGATGGCCAACAACCGAGTACCGATAGTGGAAGCGTTGTCTGAACCGAGGATAAAGTGGTCGCGCAAACAGACCACGAAGCAAGAGGGGAATGAATGATTCATTCTTTGTGCCGAGTTGACGCAGACGGCTATACTTTTATAGTAATTGTTAAGCTTTTGTGTTCTGAAGCCGTGATGCCGATAAGTCGGACGCAGTGTTGGAGGGCTCCTAAAATTTCGAACTGGGGTTTCTTAACGTGCATCAAAAACGTAATACTCGGGCTTCTAGCATTGGGCTTCCATATAAATGCGTCAGGAGTGGCTGAGATTCGATCCCGCAACCCTGGGGTCAGTTGTCGAGCATCATAAGTACTTGAACGCCGCGACCGGTGCAGCTTGCTCCTTATGACACCATAGTTATTAAAGTATGCATGACGGTAAAACACATGATTCAGGCGACCAAGTATTCAAGGAGGTAATCCTGCAGTACGTGTTAACATGTGCCAATATCAAGAATTGCTCTTTGAAGTCAAGCGACATTCTCTTCATAGTTATTCCCGTAGACCACTCACAGGGCAAACTGGGTAGAAACTCCCTTTAGCGGATGCTTAACTCAAGTGGCATTACGCGTCGTTAACTAGGGAAGTTGATTGATTTGATTGATTGATATGTCTGACTAGTATAACGGGTTGGTGCTCGTAGGTATTTTTATATCGTTCTGTCACAATTATGATTGATATTATATTGTTCATTCCTTTTTTTCTTTGTCTCACATAGCATACGCTACCCGAGTGTTACCCCATATTTATAATCTAGTCGTAACGACGCACACCGGACAAGCCTTACGCCAGTTAAGGTACCTCACCCCTTAAGAAATCACTTTTTTGACAAGCCTGCTACAGAAACGTCTTTGAAACTTCGGGATGTGCAGCTAATGTGTGACATCCTAGCTCTCTTACAGACAAGAATCGCCACGTATCAGACGCAAGTTTTATGAAGTAGGTGAAGACGCAACCGGCGACACCAGATGTGGCGTCGGTCCGGTAACCATCAGCCTGCATGATTACGTCCAGTTCGGGGCTAAGGCCTCTACCACTTTTAGCCAATCAACACGGTCTCGTGCTTGCTGTTGCCACGTTATGCATGAAAACTCCTTAATCTCATTTGGCCCCACAAATTTGTGGTGCCCTCTCGCACGCTTGCCTTTTCTTGGAATCCAGCCAGTTGCTCTTGATGATCAAAAGCTTTCTCGCCTACGTGCTAAATGCCCTGCCTATGCCCGCATCTTCTAGACTTCGACTAAGATGTCACTAACACCGTTTGTCCCCTACCCACTCTGCTTTTTCTTTCACACTAGAAATAGAAATAGAAATAGAAGGGATATCGAGGTAGCGGAAGATTTTTGTAGGAAGATTGCGGGCCCACCAAATTGCACAGAAGCCCTTACTGCTGATTACACGCCACATTCACTTGACCCGCACCTGGACCTGCCGTTTTCAATGGAAGAACTGAATGTGGCTCTTGCTTCATGCAATCGATCGTCATCGCCTGGGCCGGATGGCATATCATACCGCCTATTATGCAATCTCGGTGATCGAGCACGAAGTGCTTTGCTGGAAGTATTCAATGAGTCTTGGAGAGATGGAACGGTCCCCAGAGAGTGGAAAACAAGCCGGTTGGTTGCACTTCTCAAACCTGGAAAATCGCCTCTAGAGCTGACATCATACCGCCCAATAGCGCTGGCTAGTTGCGTAGGGAAGCTGATGGAGCGAATGATCCTTGCCAGACTCGAGTGGTTCCTAGAACGCCATAGAATATATCCAGACGCCATGGCCGGTTTTCGTCGTCTTCGGAGCTCCATTGACAATGTCATTGACCTGGTGACCTACGTACAACACCAGAAAATGAGCAGATGGTTATCTGTCGCACTATTTTTAGATGTCAAAGGAGCATATGACAATGTTTCTCACGAAGCCATACTTGACGCCCTCGAGTCAGTTGGTTTGGGTGGGCGAGTGTACCGCTGGATCCAATGCTACCTACATATGAGATCATTGTTTATGCAAACTGATGATGGGCCGACTTCTGAACATTATACACACCGTGGTGTTCCTCAAGGTGGTGTATTGAGCCCCACACTGTTCAACCTGGTTCTTATCGGTCTCGTTGAACGCATACCAGATTCCGTGCAGATATCTCTCTATGCAGATGATATTTGTGCCTGGACATCAGGTGTAACACGTCCTCAGGTACGTGCGAGACTCCAGAAAGCAGCGAATTCAATATCGGCGTACCTTAGAGAACAAGGCCTCGAGATTTCTCCTGAGAAATCGGCGCTGGTCGCGTTCACGCGGAAGGCAATGACGTCATATCCCATCGCCATCAATGGACACAGTGTCTGCTACGCCAGGACCCACAGGTTTTTGGGGGTCACGATCGATCGAAATCTCTGCTGGAGTCCCCATGTGGCCACTCTAAAGAAGCGCCTAACGGCCATCGCACAACTTTTCATGTTCCTCGGAGGCAAAACGTGGGGCACATCAGTGCACGCGATGTTGCATTTGTACAAAACGCTGTTTCTGGGGTACCTGCGGTATAGCTTGCCGGTTCTGACGAACGCTTGCAAAAGCAGTATACGCACAATAGAAAACGCCCAGGGCCAGGCACTCAGAGTTTGTCTTGGATTACCACGCTGTACATCAACAGCGGAAACCATCGCAATCGCCAAAGATCATCCGGCCACAGTGCACATTACTTTGGAGGTGCTTAGAGCTCATATTAGACACCTTGCTCGCGCCCCTGCCCACCACCTAGCTT